GTTCTTAAAAGTCGACTCTGTACATTGGGAGGCCACGTAGTAAAACATCAATTCCTTTATATGCCTGAGTGTCCAGTCCAATTGCTGGGACGTGATATGCTATCCAAATTACAAGCGCAGATTACGTTCCTAAATGGAACAACATCCTTAAAGTTTAATGGACCCTCAGGTATTATGACATTGTCCGTACCAAAGGAAGAAGAGTGGCGACTTTATACAGTGTTGACTAGCTAAAACCCGAGGAGTGATGAATCCTTATTTAACATACCAGGAGTTTGGGCAGAGAACAACCCACCAGGACTGGCCCGCAATATTCCACCTATTAAAATCGAACTAAAACTTGGGGTTTATCCAGTAAGCCTGAGACAATATCATATTCCGCAGAAGGCTAAGAAGAACATCCAATCTTATCTGGATAAGTTCATACGGTATGGTATCCTAAAATTCTGTACTTCCCCCTGGAACACCCCATTGCTGCCTGTTCAAAAGCCCGGTACAGATGAGTATCGACCTGTGCAGGACTTGAGAGCAGTCAATGATGCGGTTGTTAGTATACATCCAGTCGTGCCCAATCCATATAACCTGCTTGCTTTAATTCCGGGCGGGGCTACTTACTTTACAGTCTTAGATCTCAAAGATGCCTTCTTTTGCCTCCGAATTGCCGCAGAAAGCCAATGTATCTTCGCTTTCCAATGGGAAAATGCTGTAACGGGCTCGAAACGCCAAATGACCTGGACAAGATTGCCCCAGGGGTTTAAAAATTCACCTACCCTATTTGGTTCAGCTCTAAGTCAAGATCTACTAGATTTCGAGTCTATCCCAGGAGAGTGTGTATTATTACAATATGTAGATGACTTGTTGATAGCAGCAGTTACAAAGGAAGTATGTCAGCAAGCAACGCACGATCTACTACACATTCTCTGGAAGGCAGGATACAAGGTGTCAAGAAGGAAGGCTCAGTTGTGTTTGCCAACTGTCAAATATCTGGGATTCCATATCTCTGAAGGTCAAAGAATTATGGGGCCAGAGAGAAAAGAAGCTGTGTGCCAAATACCGATACCCAGGAATAGAAGACAAGTGCGAGAATTCTTGGGGGCAGCAGGCTTCTGTAGGATATGGATTCCCAGCTACGCGATACTGGCAAAACCTCTGTATGCAGCTATCAAAGGTACAGAGCACGACCCCTTCTTATGGACTCAAGAACAGCAAACGGCATTCGAAGATGTGAAGAGGGCTTTGATGAGTGCCCCAGCATTAGGTCTACCTGACCACACACGGCCATTCTACCTGTATGTACATGAGCAAAGAAGAATGGCTGTGGGAGTATTGACACAGTACTTGGGATCATGGCAAAGACCTGTTGCCTACATGTCTAAGCAACTGGATGCAGTGGCCAGCGGACTTCCACCTTGTCTAAGAGCTGTAGCTGCAGCCGCCCTGCTAGTAGCTGAAGCCGATAAACTCACTCTGGGTCAAGAACTTTATGTACGAGTTCCACATGCAGTACAGACGTTGTTGGATTACAAAGGAAATCATTGGTTTAGTAACAGCCGTATGACCAAGTATCAAGCAATGTTGTGTGAAAACCCAAGAGTGTATTTAGAGACTGTAAATACCTTAAATCCAGCTACCCTTTTGCCACAACCTACTGAAAGTCAACATGATTGTTTGGAAGTAATGGATGAAGTATTTTCAAGTAGACCAGATCTTCGTGATTTTCCCATCCAGAACCCTGATGTTCAATATTACACCGACGGCAGTAGTTATGTAAAAGAAGGGATCCGCTATGCAGGATATGCAGTAACAACGATAGACAAGGTGATAGAAGCTCGGCCACTGGCAAAAGGAACATCAGCACAAAAGGCAGAATTGATAGCACTGACACGAGCGTTACAATTGGCTGAAGGTTTAAGAGTGAACATCTACACGGACTCCAAGTATGCGTTTTTAACCACTCATGCCCACGGAGCTTTGTATAAAGAAAGAGGACTATTGAATTCAGAAGGCAAAGAAATCAAATACGCAGCTGAGATCCTACAACTATTGGAAGCAGTGTGGGAGCCGAAAGAAGTCGGTATTATACATTGTCGGGCGCATCTGAGAGGAGATGGTGATGTAACCAAAGGGAATCGGATGGCAGATAGTGCAGCTAAGCGTGCTGCTGAATCAGGAAGACAGGAATATGTGGGGCATATAGCTGCTCTTATACCAACTCCACTGTCTCAATGGACTCCAATTTATACAGCTCAAGAAGAGGAGTGGTTAAGGACTGAACCTGGAAAGTATTTGGAGAACAAATGGTATCAGTTAGAAGATGGAAGAATAGTTATTCCAGCATCACTAGCGGTAGAAATTGTCCAAAACTATCATAACGGGACACATTCTGGGAGAGACAGTACAGAAGAATCTCTCAGAAAACATTTCTACATACCAAGATTGTCCAACTTGACTCAGGCCATTGTACGTAGATGTGTAACGTGTGCTAAAAATAATGCAAGACAAGGACCAGTGAAGCCACCAGGAGTCCAGTTTATGGGGGGACTTCCCATGTCCGATTTACAAATTGACTATACAGTGATGCCTAAATCGGGTGGACATCGCTACCTGCTGGTAGTGGTGCGCACCTATTCAGGCTGGGTAGAAGCATGTCCTACTCGTACAGAGAAAGCAGGAGAAGTCGTGAGATTCCTGCTACGAGAAATAATACCCCGATATGGACTACCCTGCTCTATAGGATCGGACAATGGTCCAGCTTTGTTCATCAGTGCCTACAACAATTGACTCATATGCTTGGTATAAAGTGGAGGCTTCATACGGCATATAGACCCCAGAGTTCTGGTAAGGTAGAGAGAATGAATAGAACTATTAAGAATCAGTTGGCTAAAATGTGTCAGGAAACCCAACTTAAGTGGAACGTTCTCTTGCCCATAGCTCTATTGCGAATCCGTAGTACACCTACCAGAAGGATGGGCCTCTCTCCTTTTGAAATCATGTACGGGCGACCACCTCCCGTGCTTGGTAACTTAAGGGGGGATTTGAGTCAGTTGGGAGAAGGAATTACCCGGCAGCAGGTTGTAGAGTTGGGTAAGACTATGGAGGAGGTACAGAAATGGGTACAAGATAGATTACCTGTGAATATTTATCCCCCAATTCATAGTTACCACCCAGGCGACCAAGTGTGGATTAAAGAGTGGAATAATGTGCCGTTAGGGCCCAAGTGGAGAGGTCCTTATGTTGTTCTTCTGTCTACCCCTACAGCGATAAAAGTAGCCGAAGTGGCTCCGTGGATACATCACTCCAGGGTTAAACCAGCAGCAGCCGATTCCTGGCAAGTTACAGCAAATCCAGAGAATCCCTGCAAGATTCGGTTAAAACGCACGACTCGGAGTGACGAGGAACCTTGTAGATTACAAATTTTATTGTTTCAGAGACTTGGTAAGTGAGTGAGAAGGCCATAATAAAGCCTGTCCACTCACCAACGAGTGTATAAGTCAGGGAAAGTCTTGAGGGGACCCCTGTGAAGACGAGCAGAACTCCATTCTCTGCAGTCCTTACATCCTGGAAGCTGAGGTGCCTTCACACGGACGAAGACTGAGGATGACGACGAAAGATGTATTTTTAATAATGTTTATTTATGTGTATTTTTATATTCAGGAAGGTAGAGGTACCAACACTCCTAGCTGTGAGGTATGCATTAAGACTACAAGAACAGGTAACCATATATCCCAGACCCTAATTTGGCATTCGGAATATGAGTGTAAAGGAGATGTATCAAGATGTAGATACTTAAATATAGAATATAGTGTGTGTCATTTAGGAGTAGGAGAACCTAAGTGCTTCAGTCCTGAGTATCAACCCCGTACAATTTGGTTGACTCTCAGAAATGGAGATTCTCAGGGGACCCTAATTAATAAGACGGTATTAAAATCCGTATATTCTTCAGGTGCTCTGCTATTTGATGCGTGTAAAGCAATATCAAGTGGTAGAAAGCCGTGGAATGTATGTGGGATCTTAGATGGGAGAGGACGTATGGGTCTAACGATAAATATATTTGTCCCAGTAGTAAAAATAAATATGTAAGTCCAAGATGCCCAAATAGAGATTATAACTTCTGCCCATATTGGTCTTGTGTGGGGTGGGCGACTTGGGGACAGACAGCAGACAAGGACATGATTGTGACTAAGTTGCCTACTAATCCATATTGTAAGTCTATGGAATGCAATCCAATCCATATACTTATAAATAACCCTGACAAGTTCTTAGATAAATATGGTAATTTATTTGGGTTTCAAATATATGGGACGGGTTTAGACCCTGGGACAATATTGTTTATAGGGATAGAGACTGATACGGTAACCTCCCAAACTCATCAAGTATACCATTCCTTTTATGAAGAGATGAGCATAGATAATAAGATCCCCCATAATGCTAAAAACTTGTTCATTGATTTAGCCGAGAGTATTGCCGGTAGTCTTAATGTTACCAACTGCTATGTGTGTGGAGGTACTAACATGGGAGACCAATGGCCTTGGGAAGCAAAGGAGGTAATGTCCGGTTCTGAGGCAGTTGACCAATTAATATCTACACAAGCCGACTATCATATGAGTGTTAGAGGTAAATCTGAGTGGAGATTGAAGACCTCCATCATAGGTTATGTTTGCATAGCGAGGAAAGGAATGATGTATAATACTTCTGTAGGAGAATTAACTTGTCTAGGGCAAAAAGCTTATGATGATGATACAAAGAATACAACTTGGTGGTCGGCTTCAAATGTCTCAGAACCATCTAACCCGCTTGCAAGATATGCCAATTTAAAGGACGTATGGTTTGATCTATCCATCACATCTAACTGGAGAGCCCCAGCGAATTTGTACTGGATCTGTGGTAAGAAGGCCTATTCGGAGTTACCACAGGACTGGGAAGGGGCATGTGTGTTGGGTATGTTAAAACCATCCTTCTTCTTGTTGCCTATTGAAACAGGTGAGACTTTAGGTGTTAAAGTGTATGATGTGAATCATAGGAAGAAAAGGGGACCCATAGAGATAGGTGCCTGGGAAGATAATGAATGGCCTCCCCAGCGTATTATAGATTATTATGGGCCAGCCACGTGGGCAGAGGATGGTACCTTTGGTTATAGAACCCCTATTTATATGCTCAACCGCATTATAAGGTTACAGGCGGTGGTTGAGATCATTACTAACGAGACATCACAAGCGCTCAATCTTCTAGCGAAGCATAATACCAGGATGAGGACAGCAGTTTACCAAAATAGATTAGCCTTGGATTATCTTTTGGCAGTAGAGGGAGGTGTATGTGGGAAGTTTAACCTGAGCAATTGCTGTCTTCAAATAGATGACGAAGGGCAAGCAATAGCTGAGCTTACTAGCCATATGGTTAAACTAGCGCATGTGCCTACTCAGGTATGGAAAGGGTACAATCCAAGTAGTTGGTTTGGTAGCTGGTATGAGTGGTTTGGAGGGCTTAAGGCAGTGGTAGGTGGAGTCCTACTGATTTTAATGTTGTGTCTACTCCTGCCGTGTCTTATACCCTTAGTAGTTAGGTCTGTGCAAAGCCTGATAGAAAATATAGCAGAGAGGAAGGCTGCTGCACAGATAATGGCAATTTATAAATATAAGGCTCTAGATCAGGGAGAACCAATGCAGGAAGACGAGTGTTGAAGATTCACATCATAGGATAAGTCTGGTCTGGTTCAAAGGTAACTTGTGGTGTATGCAAACCAAGGTTAAGTGATGCCTCAAGTAATTGTAAAATATCAAGAGGCATCAAAGGGGGGAATGTGGTGGAATCTCGGTAAAAATAAATTTAGTAGGCCGAGATTACCACGTGGCATGTGTACGTGCATATGCTGACGTATCGATCAGTTGGTTGCACGAGGCAAGATACGATCAGTAGTGTACGGAGCATGTGCAAGAATACAGGATGTAGTATTCCCCTCCTCCATTGTGCTGGACAAGCCATGCGGTCAAGCAGGAAGTTAATTCTTATTTGTAATGATTGGTCAAGAGAATGTGCGGGTGGAGCTTAATATGGGAGGAGTTATGTGCCTATATAGGGAGCCTGCACTATTGTTCAGGGCTCAGAACTTGCTGTATTTTTGGTGACATTAGTCCCTCTGAGTCCCGATCGGTGATCCAATAAAGAATCTCTTCCTTCCTGAAGAAACCTGTGTCCATCCCTCTGTGCTTTGCTTCCGTCAGTTTCTCCGGTATCAATACGAACAGAAATAAGCAAACGAAAATCTGAGCTACAGTGAATAGTATGTCAAGAAACGTTTAGTTTTTTTTACAGTGTTTTCAATTTTTATTAGCACTTTGTCAACTCTTGATCAATAGTTGCTTCATTCTTCCAATAAACATATCTTTATCCCAAAATAAACAGAATGCTGATCCTAGTTGTTTGCCAAATCGAATACAGTAACTGATTACAGTACAGTGCACATTTCTATAGCACAGTGGAAAATAATTATTTTCTTAGAGTACATCAGTGATTGCTAATATTAGTAACTATATGGGAATGTTTTTTGGGAACTTTCCAGAGGGCCGGGCAATCATGTAAAAGGCCTACTGTGTGATGTCATAGTAACAATGTAACGTGTTGAAAGTACTGACAGCACTGACCACTCAAAATCACATTAGATGACGACAATCTTCTGAGTGCAGTCAGCTAGGATTGCATCTCCAACTATCAATCTCAGCTATTCTATACCAGTCTGCATAAAACATGCTATTGCTTTTATCCTCTGCTGATATTACTCAGATTAATTGAGGATGCCTGGAAGAAGGTATTGTTCTTTACCTGAGCTCCATTTTATATTTTACATGGTCCTAATAGATTCTGGGTATGTAACCTCAACATGCTGTCCTGAATGTTGTAATATTCACATCTTGTCACATATAAATCAATTTAATAAGGGGATTCCCCAAAGAAACTGGAAGAATTTAAATTCACAGTATAGGATTTATTTTTTCCTTACCAAAGAGCAGCAAGCATATAAAAATTTTCTGGATTTAGGAAAATATGACCGAATTAGCACATCTAAGTAGAGCCTCATGTATTTATTCAGTAAACTGTTAAAGAAGATTGGGCAAGGAACTGCATATATTGGGTCTCATCTACAGCTCAACTATATTGGCCAGAATTGGGTCTATATATTTAAAGTAGTGGTTCCCAAATTAATCATTATGGCCCACCAACATTCCAGATTTTGTTGTCAGTATCTCTCTTGGAATAATGAAGGGAAATACATAAATCCTGGATTATTCTTGGTGGGCAATGAAGACTTGTTGGGGAAACACGGATTTAAAGAAAACCAGGTTTTTCCATAACCTTTATCGGTATTGGAAATTAAGCAACACAATGTTTATCACATTCATTTTGCATTATATATATATTAACAAAGCTCTTATAACAGATTAAATATACTTTAGTTCATTTACCACTAGTACTATTTAATTTGTCTCCCACATTGAAATTAACGTAGGACCCACCGATATTGGCCTACTGTGGCATTGTGTTGGGCTTAACACGATATGGCTATGTGGTGGAATTCAGGGCCGGCCTTAGGCCTTTAGGCGCCCTGTGCGAAAACTCTTCACAGCGCCCCCACCCATCCCCCTGTCATCCATGTATGATGTAATGTTTGTGTTGTCTGTGTATGTGATAGTAGGTGTGATGACTGTGTGTAATATGTATGCTATGTGTGATATTTTAATGGGTGTATTAACAGTGTGTGATATACGTGTATTGGTTGTATGTGATATTTGTGCTGGGTTGATTGGCTGTGTGTAATGGTTATTTAATTCAGATAAAAACATGCATTTAGGCCTGTGTGTGAATGCAGGTCTATATTTTTGCAGAGTTATGTGCAAACAGTCAGATGCACACAGTTATACATATACACTGTCAAATCCACCACATGCACACAGTCGCAGGTAGATAGTCACATACACAGGTTCAGGCAGAAACATGCACACAGTCGCAGGTAGATAGTCACATACACAGGTTCAGGCAGAAACATACATACTTACATGCAGACAGCCATACACACACACACACACAGAGGAAGACACACACACGGTAAGACACACACACACGGTAAGACACACACACACGGTAAGACACACACACACGGTAAGACACACACACACGGTAAGACACACACACACAGTAAGACACACACACACACACAGGAAGACACACACGGGAAGACACACACGGGAAGACACACACGGGAAGACACACACACACACACGAGAAGACACACAGGAAGACACACACACACAGTAAGACACACACGGGAAGACACACACGGGAAGACACACACACACGGGAAGACACACACACACGGGAAGACACACACACACGGGAAGACACACACACACGGGAAGACACACACACACGGGAAGACACACACACGGAAGACACACACACACGGGAAGACACACGGAAGACACACACACACACGGAAGACACACGAAAGACACACACACACACAGAAAGACACACACACAGTGGGCATACACACACACAGTAAAGACACACACACAGTAAAGACACACACACACACACACAGGGGGTGACACACACACACACACAGGTGACACACACACACAGACAGAAGAGACACAGACACAGAGCACACACAGACACAGAAAGACACACACACGCAAGACACACACACACGCAAGACACACACACACACGGCAAGACACACACACACACGGCAAGACACACACACACGGCAAGACACACACACACACGGCAAGACACGCACACACGGCAAGACACGCACACTGCAAGACACACACACACGGCAAGACACACACGGCAAAACACACACACACGGGAAGACACACACACACGGGAAGACACACACACACGGGAAGACACACACACACACACGGGAAGACACACACACACACGGGAAGACACGCTGATTGGCTACCAAGTGTTCCATCTCAGTTACTCAGTTTTTTCTTTTACTCACTAAACTTTATTGAAAAAATGTCTTTGCTGCTGGAGTTAAGTGAAGAAAGTTAATGCATTATACGAGCCTCCTGTCTTGCTATAAAATCTATATTTTCTGACATCAACACTAGGAAAATCTTGAATTATATATGTCTTCTTTGGCAGCTAGCATATCAGCAACGTCTTTCTTTGAATCTCCAAACAAAACCGGTAAGGAGTGGAGATGGACTGTAATGGTTATTTAATTCAGATAAAAACATTATGATAATGCATTTAGGCCTGTGTGTGAATGCAGGTCTATATTTTTGCAGAGTTATGTGCAAACAGTCAGATGCACACAGTTATACATATACACTGTCAAATCCACCACATGCACACAGTCGCAGGTAGATAGTCACATACACAGGTTCAGGCAGAAACATACATACTTACATGCAGACAGCCATACACACACACACACACAGGAAGACACGCAGACAGCCACACACACAGGAAGACACGCAGACAGCCATACACACACACACACACACAGGAAGACACGCAGACAGCCACACACACACACACACACACACGGGAAGACACACACTCTCTGAAACTTCTATGTTTTTAGCTGCAGGGTTAAAACTAGAGGGACCTGGCACCCAGTCCACTTCATTGAGCTGAAGTGGTCTGGGTGCCTATAGTGGTCCTTAAATTACGGGTAGCAGTGTCACCAAAGTGGTTGACATCCCTAATATGACTTAATGTGGTATGTGACAATCTACTTTGAGAATGCACGCAGGGCAGATATTGGTGATAAAAATAACAGGGAGGACTGACGTTGTGGCATCAAAGTCAGACCAGAATTTCCCTTGCAGCTACTTCGGCCGGATCTGCCTGTCCTGCATTGGCCTTGTCAGACACCAGAGTATCTTCAGCAGACGTGGACAGCCCGATTCTTAAATCTTCATTTAAGAATTCAAACCAAACAGTCTCTGAACTGACTTTTTTTGTACTTTTAATTACACCCTAATAATGCTCAAACATGATAGAAATGCTTCAAACTATATAAAATCTGAGGTGGTATTTGTTAACATGATGGTACTGCTGTTTATATTTCTTTTATTTACACTGAAAGGCTATAGAAGTCATCCTCTCCACAAACATATTTTGGGGCATGAAGGAATGGGGAGGGATAGGGCCTTTAATTAAAAAAAAAATATTTTAGTAATAGATTAATTTGACTCTAAATGAGGAGGACCTTTAATTTAAAACATATCCTAAAAGACAAACCTGCTCAAGTAGGGATGTTACAGGGGACATGATTTGTACAAGAAAACTAATTTAAAGTTATCTCCCAACATCTTCAGGATGAAGAGTAATTACACAGACTTAGCAAAAATTAAGTGAGAGCCTTTTGTCGAGACAAAATTGACAAAAAATTATCAAGATCTCCAATAAGATTTGGCCACCAGCAAAGATGAAAGGACACATGATCATATAGCTGTTAACTGACAGAGCACAATCCTTCATTTCTGATACAGGATGATGCCTCCTTCATCCCAACACACTCTAGCTACAACACTAGTAATGAAATCAACTTCTCAATAAATATTTGATTAACAACTCAGACATATTGATTAAAATATCACACAAAATGTCGGCCACAGACAACACAACTGTGGAGGAACTAGGCAGTCCATCTCCACTCCTTACCGGTTTTGTTTGGAGATTCAAAAAAAGACATTGCTGATATGCTAGCCGCCAAAGAAGACATATATAATTCAAGATTTTCCTAGTGTTGATGTCAGAAAATATAGATTTTATAGCAAGACAGGAGGCTCATATAATGCATTAACTTTCTTTACTTAACTCCAGCAGCAAAGACATTTTTTCAATAAAGTTTAGTGAGTAAAAGAAAAAACTGAGTAACTGAGATGGAACACTTGGTAGCCAATCAGCATTCTGCATAGTCTATATAGTGAATAATCCCCAATATTCTTCCTCTTTCGAGCTGCGAATCTAGAAGAAGTATCTAGTAGAGTAAACTCCAAACAGGATTAAACTAAAACATAAAAAAAGGTGGGTTAATGGGAGACGCCTCCTGTCTTTAATGAAATCTAGATTTTCTGACGTCAAGACTAGGAAAATCTTGAATGTTATAGCAAGACAGGAGGTTTGTATTATGCATGTTAAAAGCTGAATAATCATAGAAATATATATCAAATACATAGTTAAGATATTACAAAATTATTTTTTAAACATGCATGCTAGGTCTAAAAAAAAAAAACTGTTTAAATGTAAATTCTGAAGACCAATCTGCAGTTTTCAACAGATATGATAAAGAGCCTCCTGCTTGAAACACTTTAGTAATCATAGCTCCTCTTGAAAAGTGATCTCCAAACTTTGAAATATCAATACAATAGACATAGTTTTTCTTACCCATCTGGCTAAAGATGTAGAGGAGACAGGCAGAAAAGGTTTACAAAAAGATTAGCAATTGAGAGAAATTAGAATTTCTTATAGTTGACGGTTTAAGCGTATATGTTTTAATACAATTGACAACACAGAAGAGGATAGTCAAAAAAAGAAGGATAGAACACACAGCAGAGATCAGTTTTGGTACATAGACCAATAGAGAAATAACACAATCAGGAGTATTATGTCTATTTAACGTCAAACTTTTTTAAATAAAATGAGGCATAGTAATGTGGAAAGCTTAAACGAAAGCAATTTTAAGGATAATGAGTCATTGTCACCCCACGATTCTATTAACTGTTGTACCAGAGTAACATCCCAAGTAGAATGATATTTAGGGCATGGAGGACACTTAAATCTGATACCCTTCATAAGTCTGCAGACTAGGGGATGTTTGCCCACAGGGAAAAATTCAATAGGGTCGTGATTTGCTGAGATAGCTGATCGATAGACAGTCATTGTACAATAAGCTTTGCCTGAGTCAAATGAGGCTGACAAAAAATTTAGAGTGTTGGCTAAATCTGAATGTACGGATCCACAGCCCATTTCATGCACCAATTAAGCCAAATTTTCCAGGCAGATCTGTAAATTGCATGGGTACCTGGTGCCCGTGCTTATGAGAGAATATCTCTAGTTAAGTTTGAAAATTCACTATGAGATTCGTATGACATTCGTAGAGATGCTATTAAAGATAGTTGGCTTGATATTACTAGAGCATGAAGACTTCCATCCGGACCGCGAAGAGCATCCCGACGCATCTGTATGAGTCGTGGGTAATCTATCAGCATGCTGAGAAGCTGAGGAACCTTGGTTGTGATGGCCAGAGAGGGGTTAGTAACACTAGGGTTGATTTCTTAGACCATGCTTTCAGACGTATCAGAGCTGATATCGCAAATGGGGGAAATGCATAATTGAGCCAGTCTTTCCAGCATTGGAGGAATGCATCTTGATCTGCTGCCTCTGGATCCGGACGCCAACTGAAAAATATTTCTAATTGGCGATTGAGTCGTGATGCAAAGAGGTCGTATTGAAACGGACCCCACAGGGAAAGTAGTCATTGGAAGATGCTGGGATCCAACATCCAGTCACTGTAATCCACTAGGAAACGGAAATTCCAATCTGCTACTGTATTGGAAAGGCTGGGAAGATATTCTGCTCGTAAAACTATGTTTTTTTTTGTATTTCAGACTGAACCCGCTTCTTTATGGGTTTCAAATATATCATCGTATATGGCTAGGTATATTAGTCATCATAAATACTTATTAACTCATCTCTGACCTCTCCATCCTTCCCCCACTTAGAACTATCAGCTATCATTACCCTTTGTAAATTGTATTATACTGATGCATATTAAAATGACCAAAGTAATAGTACCTTATTGTTAAAGCAGTAGAGGGAGGATGAAAGAGGATACGATAAAGTAAAAAAAAAGAAAACAACCTGACAACAATCATACTAACATTCACACCTTACCTTACAGCTATGTGAATCAACTTATTTACTTTCAAGAGGAAATATCTACTATATTAATCTATTTATATCTGTCCTTCTAAGGAATCAGTTCACTCTCTTGTTTCTCCAATTTAATTAGCCAATTTTCCCACTTGCTGTACTCTTTATGTTGGATTTTAATTTTATTCAGCCCTAATTCCATTTGAATCTGATATTTTAATTGTTGAGTAAGCTGCTTCTTCAAGAATGGTTGCGTCTTTTTCCAATTTCTGGCGATAATAATTTTTGGTGCTATTAAGCAATGTGTTGTCAAAATTTGGTTCATTCTGCTTAGGGCAGGCCACCTTATATGTAGCAACATCATATCTGGTGTAATTTTTATTCCTATTCCATTTAACCTATGTAATAATAAATTAGCCATGGACCATAAGGGGATTACTCTCTTACAACTCCACCATATGTGGAGGTAGTCTCCTTTCTCTTCTCCACATCTCCAGCACAGATCGTTGTTGTCATTAAACATTCTTGATATTTTTAAGGAGACTAAATACCAATTATTTATCACTTTAAAGTGAGTTTCAATCAGGGAAAGACTGTGCACATATTTATTTGTTTTAGTTATAGCAGCATACCATTCTTCTAAATCTATGGGGAACTTCAGAACTTTTTCCTAACTTTTTATTGCCGTTGGGCGGTTCTCTGTTTTTATTGTATCAAAAAATGTTGTACATGTAGCAAAAAGATTTTTTGACTCTTTTTTTTAGAGAAGATTATTTTTAACACATTATATATTTCTCCATTATTTACAAAGGTTTTGTGCTTCAAATAATTCCTAACTCTTAGATAAGAGAATGCCTCTCTATTTGGGAGGGAAAATGTCCTTATCAATATATCGAAAGTCTTTAACTCACCATTTAGCATTAGATCTTCAATCTTTCTAATATTTACCTCTCTCCATGCTTTTAAAGAGATATTTGTTATATCTATTTCCAGACTTTTGATATTTTGAAAACCCAAGAGCTTATTCTTAATATCTGCTTTCTTCTTTATTCTTTCCCATATAGGGATTATTTGATCCAGTACAAATGATAATGAATAAGCATAACTTTTGTTGTTCCATATAATATTAAATAGATTTTTTGATTGGCATAGGTCTGTTTCTATCCTCCCCCATGCCTCTAAACTAACTATGTTTTGATCAAAGCAAAAGTGCCAAAAATCTTTGGCAATGTCAGTTACTTGCTTGGATTTTGTACCTCCCAAGCGATTTATGTATTGGACTGCTGATATGTTGTCCATCTTGAGAAGAATACAACAATGGGATTTTTGTTTTGCAAAGCTATGTAGAGCAAAAAATCCTGCCATGAGTTCCAGGCAGTTCATATGCATACTCATCTCTTCTGCGGGACCATTTGCTCTCTGTAGAATTGCCTCTGCAGTGGGCTCCTCACCCTATTCGACTCGCATCAGATTCTATTATCAGATCTGGGAATTGATTGAAAAGGGTTTTCCTCTTCCAAATTTTAACCACCAGAATAGTTCTGTTCTTGTCCCTGGAGTCGAAGAGATCTCGTCTAAATCAAGAAGACCGTTGTGTAGATGTTCTCTTTTTAATCTTTGAAGAGCCCGATAATGATGGGGGGCCAGAAAAATCACTTGAATCGAGGCTGATAAAAGACCTACAATCCATGTCAGAGATCTGATAGAAATTAATTCCTTGTTCAGAACTGACCTGATCTCTTTCCGAATCGTTTTCAATTTCCGTGATGGAAGATTGAGAGTGGCTAAATTGGAATTCACTAGAAATCCCAAAAATTCTCCCTAGAAAGGGAGTAAAAATCGATTTCTCGTAATTTATTACAAAGCCAAGGCTTGTTAACAGATTCAATGTCAATTGAGAATGTAGTTGAAGAGTTTGCCCACTCTGTGACAATCAATATGTCGTCTAGATAGATTATCATTCTCACTACCCTGCTTCAAAGCAGGGATATTAATGGTTTGAGCAATTTGGTGAAACACCAAGGTGCAGAGGATAAACCAAATGGCAATGATTTGAAGTGCCATTTCTTCTCTTCCAAATAATTCTGACATGAATGGATGGTGAAAAGGTACCGTGAGATACGCATCCTTCAAATCTATTTTGATCAACCAGTCGTTGAGTATCAATAGGTCTTTGAGATAATAAATTCCTTCTATTTTGAAATGGTAGAATCTGACAAAATTGTTTACATATGTTAAATTTATGACTGGTCTCTGATCAATATCTTTCTTTTTCACCAAGAATAAATTGCTTATGAAGGCTGGACTGCTAATGGCACCTGCGTGATGGCATTTCTTTTGCATAAATTTAATATTTTTTGATGGACCAGAGCTTGGTCTTGGATCGAAAATGTTATCGGGAAAGGTACTTTTCTTTGAACGGGATACAATATGAAATCTATTTTATATCCAAGAACAGTGTCTAGTATCCAAGAATCATTTGTAATCTGACACCAAACGTGGAAATAACGAGCGAGTCTGCCCCCTAGCCCTTCTTGGGAAGAAAGGGGAATTGTTATACTTACCGGATGAATAGCTGAAGCAAGACATTCCCTGGTGGACTCTTGATCTCCAAGTTCTGCCACGTAGTGGGAAAAATGGAGTTGGTGTCATAGGAAGGCCTGGTGGGCTGGAAGGTGTTCCTTGAAAGGAGCGGCTGGAAGAGCGGTTCCTTCCTCTTCCAGCCCTTCCAAAAACCTTAGGGTTGAATACTTTCCTCAGAGATTACTGAGCCTTATCAAGGAAGCTAAATTCAACAACTGGTGGTCAATTTTCATTAAAATAGATCTGCGGCGTTCGCTGGTCAGAGCTGCGTTCGCATTCCCCAAAAAGCATAGAATGCGTTGGGTCCAACCTCTCAAAATATCAATGCTTGGAAGAATTCCAGGAGCTGCAGCTTGTTCTAAAGTCTCAAACATTTTTGCCACAGGACCAGATACGTCCATTAATTTATCTTGACAAGGTTTTAGTGATCTGTCAAGTCCTTTACTTGGGTTCTTGATTTTGTTACAAATTGCACAATAGTGGAATCTAGATCAGGGGTCTGTGCGACTTTCTTAGACAAAGTCGGTCTAGGGCATTCAGCTCTTGGCTTATTTCTAGCCGCTTGGTCAAGGGGTTTCCCTCAATCAGCATTCAAGATATTTGGCTACATGAGCAAAAGGGACCCATTCAGTGCTTAAAATGGTCTGGCTCAAATAATGTTTTCCCATTAACAACCATTATAATATTCTCTTCATCATATTTAGAGAGAAGCTCAGGTGCCTCTGAAACAGATGAATAATTTAAGGCAGCATCAGATTCCGATTTTTCATCTGAGCTTAAAGTTGAGTCATAGTTCGAGGAGGTTTTATAGGAGTTAGGTTTGCTCCTGTGAAAGCAAGTGCAAAATATAAAAAAGTGTAGAGGATTAGCGCCACTCCAGAAAGATACTGGTGAGGATATTATAACCAGCATAAGATGCCTTAAAAACAAATATAAAATAAGATAAATATAAACTAAAATATTAAATATAAGTCCAAGATAGAAAGTCCAAAAAAAGATGATACTTTCCAGAGGAGCTTTCACAAACTTGTTCAAGGAAAATCATCTTGTTGTGATATCAGATGCGGTCCGTATGTGGAGAGGGAGAGGATAATGGTGCAGTATGTCCAGAAAATATAAAAATAAGAATAAAAGTATATATGGTCCTGCTCACGTTTTTTAGAGCTTTGAACCAGCTCTAGTATAAAAAGGCATAAAGTGGTACAATCCCCACTTATAGGATATGTGAAGAATGGTTTCAATGATGTATGGACCAAAAAATAAAAAGAAACAACAATAGTGCTCACTGTATAAAATTAACCAGAAGAATAAATAAGAGAATATTACGCACATTTACCAGAGCAGACAACTTCTCTATGGATAGGGTGTGGGTGGAATAATCCCCTCCTAAGGATTTCTTGAGTAGTTCTTACAGGGAGTAAAATCAGTATACCAGGCAATAAAATAATAATAACGGAGTAAAACGAGTAAAATGGCACACTCAATGTAAAAGTAGCCAAAATACCTTTGACACAGTAATAAAACAAAACGCGTTGTGGACTTTTTAATTAGTTTTACTACTGTGGTATTTTGGCTCTTGCTTATTCTTCTGGTTGATTTTATACAGTGATCACTATTGTTGTTTCTTTTTCACGTATCCTATAAGTGGGGATTGTACCACTGTACACCTTTCATGCTAGACCTCATTTAAAGATCTAAAAAACGTGAGTAGGACCATATATATTTTTATTCCTATATTTTCTGGACATACTGCACCATTATCCTCTCCTTCTCTCCACATACGGACCGCATCTGATATCACAACAAGAAGATTTTCCTTGAACAAGTTTGTGGTGGCTCCTCTGGAAAGTATATACCATAATTTTTTTGGGACTTTCCATCTTGGACCTATATTTAATATTTTACTTTATATTTATCTTATTTTATATTTGTTTTTAAGGCATCTTAGGCTGGTTATAATATCCTCACCAGTGTCTTTCAAGAGTGGCACTAATCCTCTACACTTTTAATTTTTTTTTACTTGCCTCACTACTATAGGGATAGAGAGATTCCCTTCCTTTTGGAGGAAAGCTGCCTTAATTTCACAGTTTGTTCTATCAGTGCTGATCCTTTACTACTGTTTGCTCCTGTGAATGGCCTTCTGAGCTCATCTGTCTTCCTCAAGAGCATAGGGTCTTTTGAGTGATTGATTGCAGTTTTGCGTAAGACACACATTTTGTTTTGGTCTTGGGCGTGGTCCTTCCCCACCTTATATGACAAAACAGCCAGGGAATTCTAAAGGACCGTCAAAGCAGTGTTTGCATTTCTGGGTGGCATTCCCAGACCTCCTGAATCCCTGAGCTAAATTCTGTTCTGACTCCACAGGTTACCAGAATTGGTCTGAAGGAGTAGTAAGTGAGTCGTATCACTAGGTTTTGAATTGCTTTTGGCCTGAGCCACAGACTTTGCAATTGCTTCTTGCATGGAAGACATTACAGTATAAATTGCAGATGAAACTGATTTGTGAACGGATAAGTCTACAATGTTTTGTAAAGAATCCTCAGTGAAGATTTCACAGTCATAAGTATCATCAGGTTTTGGTGACTGACAACAAGTTTGTCTAATTTCTTTAGAATTCATTGTTCAATATTGCAACAAATTGTAATTTGTAATTATGATTAGTAAATAGTAAAATAATGTTGCAAAGGATTAGGTAAAATCCTGACAGGAAAGTCAAATAATTTACAAGTTATAATAATTACCAACAAAGTTGTGGAGAAACGCTGTGCTGAGGTAAAGGTGAACGGGAAAGTTAGCCGAGAACCAACTAACTGGAATTTCCGCCCATAACGTCAATCAATCTATGATGGACTAACTGAAATCGTGCGTGTAGTGATTTGCATGAAAAACTGCCGAACTAAACTGAACAGTGAAATACACGTTCATACAAAAAAACCTGCGAACGCGAGTATAATAAACGAATAATAAAAATAAAAAAAAACCGAATTGCCGCAATTCGCGAGAAACCTACCGAATGCGAGTCATACGAAATAACTGAATATAGTAACAATTCGTATGAAAACTACCGAACGCGGATGAACCACAAATTCAATTCAGATGAAAAGGCACGAATGCCAGTGTATAAAAAACCAAATATATATATATATATATATATATATATATATATATATATATAAACCAAAACCTAAGAAAAATATATAAAATTACTTCAGAAAACATACAACATAAAGGAATATATATACAAATATATTCAACAACAAAACCAGAAAAAAACAGAATGTATTGATATAGAAAACAGTAGCATAAGTGAATATATAAATGATACTTATCTCTACTGGAGAAGTAAACAAAGAGGAAGAATATTGGGGACCATTCATTATATAGGCTATACCAGATGCTGGTTGGCTACCGAGTGTTCCATCTCAGTTACTCTGTTTTTTTTACTTCTATTCACTAAACTTTATTGAAAAAATGTCTTTGCAGCTGGAGTTAAGTAAAGAAAGTTAATGCATTATACGAGCCTCCTGTCTTGCTATAAAATTCCAAATTACTGGAAATCACATCATCAGTTAGGCAACAGGTTACAAACCCTGAAATACTAAAAAAGCACAATAAAAGATACTCACCTCTCTTAAAAGGAGTGCTAATTTTCCATTCCTGCAATTCTATCTATACATCTACCTCTAAGACTTGGAGAATCAAAGGAAAAATAATATATATGCCACACTGGATCTCCCCATCAGCAGCCTCAGTGTCTTAGATTTTATTGAGATGATATAAACATTAAGCTAACCTCCCTGTTGATAGAAGTGGTGGCATTCAGCCACTGTCAATCTGAACTGTCTTCAGTGAAATGTCTTGTAGTTAAAAAACAAAACCTTATTGTTTTAAAAATAGACCATTTTAAAAGGTAAATTTAATGAGCTACAAATCTCAAACATGACAAATTTCTAGAATTTCTTTTTATATTAAAGGAGCACTATAGGGTCAGGAACACAAACATGTATTCCTGACCCTATAGTGTTAACACCACCATCAAGCCCCCCTGGGCTTACTGTATTCAAGCCAGAAGCTGTAACTCTGCATGCAGTTTGCCTAAAAAACAATAAAAAAAAACAGTTTGCTGACATAATCAGAAGTGGTAGCCTGATCCAATCACAATGCTTCCCCATAGGATTGACTGAGACTGACAGAGGCAGATCAGGGACAGAGCCAGCATGATTCACACACAGCCCTGGCCAATCAGCATCTCCTCATAGAGATGAATTGAATCAATGAATCTCTATGAGGAAAGTTCAGTGTCTGCATGCAGAGGGAGGAGGCACAGTGGTGCCCTGTGCTCTGCTGACAGCAGATCTGAGTGGATTGAGGAGTTTTATGTCTCAATCAACTCTGAAGTCCCCCTGGTGGCATTCTGAGTGACTGCAACTGGAGGTGTTCCTAGCTTCCAATGTAAACTATTTTCTGAGAAAATACAGTGTTTACATGAGAAAGGCTGCAGGGAGCTATAGTTCTCACCTGAACAACCTCATTAAGCTGAAGTTCTTCAGGTGACTATAGTGTCCCTTTAAGTAATCAAAAATAAATAAACCTCAATCTTGGAATTTTTTTTATCATGGCGAAGTACATGGTTGATTTTATTACCTTTAAATTATTTTAATTTATACATACAAAGTGTCAATCCCATTAAACTATTTTAAGGAACACTATAGCATTATAAACACAAATGTGTGTTTCGAATGCTACCGTGTCCTAGTCACTGTTTAGGTGTACGCCCGCCCCTCCTGCAATGGTTATAAAAGTACTTTACTTACCTTTTAAATAGGCTGCTCTCTTCACTGCTGGCCTTGCTTCCTTGACCAAGATCATCAATCTCAATGAGCTCAGCCAATCCAATGCTTTCTCATAAGAAAGCATTGTGATGCTAGTGAGCATTTGTAGCAAAGCTCAGCGCAGGCCAATCAGATGGACTCTATGAGACCATCTAATTGAAACCTGTATAGCTTCACCTAGTTATTTCTACAAAAGCACCTCTAGTGGCATTAAAACCCTGTAATGGAAACAATCCTGCAGAAAGGCGATTTATTCACTTGCAGGGTTAAAACTACAGGGAAATAGCACCCAGACCACTTCAATGAGATAGGTGGTTTAAAAATGCCTATAGTGTCTCTTTAATGATCTTATTCTTGGAAAAAAAAAAAAAAATACAACTGAAGATGTACAAAATCTTACCCTGATCAATGTGCACTCAGCATCAATGGTCTGCATAGCCTATAGGCAACAAACATGGATGCAAAATATAAATATCAACATGAGTGCACATTTATACTACTGCAGACCAGAGTGATGAGTTTTCCCTCCCAAGTATATCAAAATTGATTACCTTTACACCATAAAGGGTGACATGCTCTCAAATTGTTATTATGGTCCAATCTCAATCAAGAAATATCTGCAATATTGTCATGTCACATACCAGAATTAGCAAATCCCAAAACACTGTGTTTACATACGTAATGATCATAGTAAATCACTGGAAGTGTCTAATTTC